TAGCCCAGCTGATTTGTAGGGGTCCAGATTTTGCAGCTCTTTCAGAACATCAGCTATCTGAATTTGGGTGAAGGAGAAGGGGGCATGGGCAAGTTGCAGCGGAGGGTGCAGAGCTGGTGGCCGGGGTAGGAGTAGCCAGGTGGAAAGCATGGCCAGCCGTAGCAAAATGCTTGTTGAAATTCTCGATTATCGTAGATTTGTCAGCGGTGACAGTGTTTCTTAGCCTCAGTGCAGGAGGCAGCTGGGAGGAGGTGCTCTTATTCTCCATGGACTTTACATTGTCCAAAACCTTTTGGAGTTAGTGCTACAGGATGCACATTTCTGCTTGAAAGTATTAATGAGCTTGCCTTGACTGAGAACTCTTTGAAATAACTATGTCAAGAAACGTGGATGCAGTGTTGCAGTAAAATAATCTCAAGCAAACTTGGTGACAAACAAAGCAACTCAAACAACATTGAAATTGCATCAATTACCTCTTTTTAAAAATATATATATTTGGCAGGTCTCTTGTGATACTTTTCACGGATGTGTTAACTTGACAACTGCGTCAGAGTTTTGAATGACCCTTCCCCCTCTTTTGTTCCATGCTGGCTGAAGACATACAGTGAGGGAAAAAAGTTTTTTTTTTTTTGTCATTTTAGCAGTCGCTCTTATCCAGAGCGACTTACATGAGCAATTAGGGTTAAGTGCCTTGCTCAAGGGCACATCGACAGATTTTTCACCTAGTTGGCTCAGGGATTAGAACCAGCAACCTTTCGGTTACTGGCACAACGCTCTTACCCACTAAGCTACCTGCCGCACCCTAGTATTTGATCCCCTGCTGATTTTGTACGTTTGCCCACTGACAAAGACATGATCAGTCTATCATTTTAATGGTAGGTTTATTTGAACAGTGAGAGACAGAATAACAACAAAAAATCCAGAAAAACGCATGTCAAAAATGTTATAAATTGATGTGCATTTTAATGAGGGAAATAAGTATTTGACTCCTCTGCAAAACATGATTTAGTACTTGGTGGCAAAACCCTTGTTGGCAATCACAGAGGTCAGACGTTTCTTGTAGTTGGCCACCAGGTTTGCACACATCTCAGGAGGGATTTTGTTCCACTCCTCTTTGCAAATCTTCTCCAAGTCATTAAGGTTTCGAGGCTGACGTTTGGCAACTCGAACCTTCAGCTCCCTCCACAGATTTTCTATGGGATTAAGGTCTGGAGACTGGCTAGGCCACTCCAGGACCTTAATGTGCTTCTTCTTGAGACACTCCTTTGTTGCCTTGGCCGTGTGTTTTGGGTCATTGTCATGCTGGAATACCCATCCACGACCCATTTTTAATGCCCTGGCTGACGGAAGGAGGTTCTCACCCAAGATTTGACGGTACATGGCCCCGTCCATCGTCCCTTTGATGCGGTGAAGTTGTCCTGTCCCCTTAGCAGAAAAACACCCCCAAAGCATAATGTTTCCACCTTCATGTTTGACGGTGGGGATGATGTTCTTGGGGTCATAGGCAGCATTCCTCCTCCTCCAAACACGGCGAGTTGAGTTGATGCCAAAGAGCTCGATTTTGGTCTCATCTGACCACAACCCTTTCACCCAGTTCTCCTTTGAATCATTCAGATGTTCATTGGCAAACTTCAGACGGCCCTGTATATGTGCTTTCTTGAGCAGGGGGACCTTGCAGGCGCTGCAGGATTTCAGTCCTTCTGTGTTACCAATTGTTTTCTTGGTGACTATGGTCCCAGCTGCCTTGAGATCATTGACAAGATCCTCCCGTGTAGTTCTGGGCTGATTCCTCACCGTTCTCATGATCATTGCAACTCCACGAGGTGAGATCTTGCATGGAGCCCCAGGCCGAGGGAGATTGACAGTTCTTTTGTGTTTCTTCCATTTGCGAATAATCGCACCAACTGTTGTCACCTTCTCACCAAGCTGCTTGGCGATAGTCTTGTAGCTCATTCCAGCCTTGTGTAGGTCTACAATCTTGTCCCTGACATCCTTGGAGAGCTCTTTGGTCTTGGCCATGGTGGAGAGTTTGGAATCTGATTGATTGATTGCTTCTGTGGACAGGTGTCTTTTATACAGGTAACAAGCTGAGATTAGGAGTACTCCCTTTAAGAGTGTGCTCCTAATCTCAGCTCGTTACCTGTATAAAAGACACCTGGGAGCCAGAAATCTTTCTGATTGAGAGGGGGTCAAATACTTACTTCCCTCATTAAAATGCAAATCAATTTATAACATTTTTGACATATGTTTTTCTGGACTTTTTTGTTGTTATTCTGTCTCTCACTGTTCAAATAAACCTACCATTAAAATTATAGACTGATCATTTCTTTGTCAGTGGGCAAACGTACAAAATCAGCAGGGGATCAAATACTTTTGTCCCTCACTGTAAACCATACCCCTCCACAAACACACCTTTTCCGATGTTGGTTACAAGGCAGTACTTATTTAAATTAGGTAAGAGAATATCATGTTACCATTGGTGTAATAAAATGAGTGTTAGGGTGATGTCACCCTATCCCCTTAATAAACCCGCCTCCTGAATCCAAGTGTTTGACATGGGGAAGGGGACCTTTATGATCAAACTTCATTAATGTAGAAGTGACAGTCATTTTTCATACTTTGGTCATCATACTTTGATCTGGATTAATCTAAATATCAACCAATTTCATGAAAAACATGATTTTGACTGTTCAAGACCTTTAAATAATCCTTGTTATCTAACTCGAAAACCTGTCTGTTCATTAACTTCAGTAGAGGCCGTATTCATGGACCGATAGCGTCCCATTAATGTTGCCAATATTCTTCCTTTTGACAGGGAGATGAGTGGAATAGATAATAGCCCCCATGAATCGCATGTGTGTGAATAATAACTCAATATATTTCTGCACAGAGATGACACGGTGCAGAGTCGCTAGGCATTTGTTTTAACTAGCCTGAATAGCAGTGGAAAGAGTCTACAGTCGTGGTCAAACGTTTTGAGAATTACACAAATACTAATTTTCACAAAGTCTGCTGTCTCAGTTTTGATGATGGCAATTTGCATATACTCCAGAATGTCATGAAGAGTGATCAGATGAATTGCAATTAATTGCAAAGTCCCTCTTTGCCATGAAAATGAACTTAATCCCCAAAAAAACATTTCCACTGCATTTCAGCCCTGCCACAAAAGGACCAGCTGCCATCATGTCAGTGATTCTCTCATTAACACAGGTGAGAGTGTTGACGAGGATAAGGCTGGAGATCACTCTTTCATGCTGATTGAGTTAGAATAACAGACTGGAAGGTTTAAAAGGAGGGTGGTGCTTGAAATCATTGTTCTTCCTCTGTTAACCATGGTTACTTGCAAGGAAACACGTGCCGTCATCATTGCTTTGCACAAAAAGGGTTTCACAGGCAAGGATATTGCTGCTAGTAAGATTGCACCTAAATCAACCATTTATCGGATCATCAAGAACTTCAAGGAGAGAGGTTCAATTGTTGTGAAGAAGGCGTCAGGGCGCCCAAGAAAGTCCAGCAAGCGCCAGGACCGTCTCCTAAAGTTGATTCAGCTGCGGGATCGGGGCACCACCAGTGCAGAGCTTGCTCAGGAATGGCAGCAGGCAGGTGTGAGTGCATCTGCACGCACAGTGAGGCGAATACTTTTGGAGGATGGCCTGGTGTCAAGAAGGGCAGCAAAGAAGCCACTTCTCTCCAGGAAAAACATCAGGGACAGACTGATATTCTGCAAAAGGTACAGGGATTGGACTGCTGAGGACTGGGGTAAAGTCATTTTCTCTGATGAATCCCCTTTCCGATTGTTTGGGGCATCCGGAAAACACCTTGCAGGAGAAGACAAGGTGAGCGCTACCATCAGTCCTGTGTCATGCCAACAGTAAAGCATCCTGAGACCATTCATGTGTGGGGTTGCTTCTCAGCCAAGGGAGTAGGCTCACTCACAATTTTGCCTAAGAACACAGCCATGAATAAAGAATGGTACCAACACATCCTCCGAGAGCAACTTCTCCCAACCATCCAAGAACAGTTTGGTGACGACCAATGCCTTTTCCAGCATGATGGAGCACCTTGCCATCAGGCAAAAGTGATAACTAAATGGCTCGGGGAACAAAACATCAACATTTTGGGTCCATGGCCAGGAAACTCCCCAGACCTTAATCCAATTGAGAACTTGTGGTCGATCCTCAAGAGGCGGGTGGATAAACAAAAACCCACAAATTCTGACAAACTCCAAGCATTGATTATGCAAGAATGGGCTGCCATCAGTCAGGATGTGGCCCAGAAGTTAATTGACAGCATGCCAGGTCGGATTGCAGAGGTCTTGAAAAAGAAGGGTCAACACTGCAAATATTGACTCTTTGCATAAACTTAATGTAATTGTCAATAAAAGCCTTTGACACTTATGGAATGCTTGTAATTATACTTCAGTATACCATAGTAACATCTGACAAAAATAACACTGAAGCAGCAAACTTTTGACCACGACTGTAGTCTGAGCCAAGATAAATATGGTCGGCCAGCTCAGACCACACCAGCATCGTAGGGGTCGATTTCCCATTCTAGATTCAATCCAGATCAGCTATTGAATGAGCCAAAGTATGACCGTGCACAGCACAGCTCACACCTACAAACAAAGAAATTAGCTAACTTAAGCTCCTCTGACACACATGTGTGGATAGAGGCGGAAGTGAATCAGAGAGTCGGTGTACTTTGTTATCTTGGGTATACCAGTGTACATTTTAACAGAGACTATGCATGATGAATATCACTATCCATGTAAGGGTGCTTGGTAGCTAAGATATTCCTGTATGGATCAAGGCATCCGTTTTTTGATAACAGCCATGTTTGTTCTTGCCAGCTCACCAACTTGTTTTGATATGAGGGGCCTACTACTCTAGCTCTATAAATGTTCATTGTGAAATTCAAGTACGCTCACTTTTCACTCAGATGTTCTCTCTTCTACTCTCCTGGATGATTTCCCATCATCATCTCCTCCCTTTTCCTCCACAGTATGCCAGGGCATCACTAACCGGTTCAACCTTCTGGGGTCAAAAGAGGGCCACTACTTGAACATGGTCAAGACCTACAGCAACTGTACTGTTGTCCTAGAGAACCTGGAGGTCACCCACATGGAGGACCACCATGATCTGTCTTTCCTAAGGGTAAGATAAAGGAACGCTAGCCTGGTCCCAGATCTGTTTGTGCTGTCTTGTCAGCTCCTATGAACAATGACCATAGGAGATGTCAAGATGGCACAAACAGATCTGGGACAAGGCTACAGGTAAGGAACCCCTTTGTCTGGAGAAAGCATTACTGGATGAAAACATCACAGCTGCAAAAAATATCTAACAAGCTTGTTTTAACCTACGGGCATGGTCCAAAGCTATTTCAATGGGTCAGCTGTCCAAAACACCTCATTAGAGCCTTGTAGCTTCAGTTGAAATAGTCTCTTAGGTTGCGCTCATACTTGTGACTAGGTTCAGTGGGTTACCGGTAGTAACCTTGTGTGAACCTTGTCTAGCTATGAGGTTGTAGACAGGTGATGCGAAAACCAGCAGGACCTGAGCTGGAGCCTCTAGGTCTGGTCTAACCCAAATCTTTCCTTGTTTGTCCCCAGTCCATTCAGGAGGTGGGTGGCTACGTTCTGATCGCCCTTAACACAGCCAACAGGATTCCCCTGGACAACCTACGCATCATCCGAGGCCACACTCTCTACGACAATGGCTTTGCCCTGGCTGTGTTGCTAAACTATAACAAGTCAATGGGAGCAGGCACCACCGAGCTGCCTCTGACCAGCCTCACAGGTCAGTCTCTAGGACTGTCCCTGCACTGCCCAGGCAATCTCTATACCCAGCTTCATAATGAATGGTCACTGTGGGCCTTCTCACATACTAGAGCCAAACCAGGGAAACTCTGAGCCCTTGTTATAAACTAGGATTAGGGTAGGGTTGCATCTGGAGCTAGGTGTTGTGGTTGTGATTGAGGCTATGGTCAGGGTTGGACCAGGATGTGGACATGAAGCTAGGGTTAGGGTTGAGGCTAGGGTTAGGGTTGAACCAAGATGTGGACACGAAGCTAGGGTCAGGGTTGAGGCTAGTGTTAGGGTTGAACCAGGATGTGGTCGCAAAGCTATGGTTGCATTTGGAGCTGGAGTTGGGTTATAGATTATTTAATATACACAGTTTTATTACATTAATTAATTCACATCAACATTTAGCTTCCACCTGAAAATAAACGCATCTCTCTCCGTTTTCCAGAAATCCTGAAAGGAGGAGTGAAGTTCTCAGGCAACCAGCTGTGTAACGTGGAGACCATCCAGTGGTTGGACATTGTGGACAGTAACAGCAAACCCAACATGCAGTTACCTGAACCCAGCAGAAATCGTCTCTGTAAGGAGCTGCTGTTACAGCACATTAGACAATGTTACAACACATTAAACAATGCGTCACATAAATGTACCTACTATAATCCCATTCAATATTTTGTGTTTTTATACACCCTTGAGGCTAGATTTGTTCATGTTGTTAGATATTAACAGGAAGCTGCTTCACCCAGTGCAGCCAACATTTTAGTAATGTTTAACTTTCAACTATCAAATACTCAAACTTTGTTTTATTGAACATTAAAGTGCTAAAGTACACTATAAAGTATTGAAGTACACTGAAGTTGCAGAGTTCTTGAACTATTATTTTGATATATTTTCTGTAGGTGAAAAATGTGATCCTGGATGCTTCAATGGTTCATGTTGGGCACCCGGCCCAGAACACTGCCAGACATGTAAGTCTGTAAACCATACTCTAATATTGTTGAAAGGTACACTACCGTTCAAAAGTTTGGGGTCACTTAGAAATGTCCTTGTTTTCGAAAGAAAAGCAAAAAAAAATTGTCCATTAAAATAACATCAAATTGATCAGAAATACAGTGTAGACATTGTTAATGTTGTAAATGGCTATTGTAGCTGGAAACGACTGATTTTTAATGGAATATCTACATAGGCGTACAGAGGCCCATTATCAGCAACCATCAGTCCTGTGTTCCAATGGCACGTTGTGTTATAATTTTAAAAGGCTAATTGCTCAATAGAAAACCCTTTTGCAATTATATTAGCACAGCTGAAAACTGTTGTGCTGATTAAAGAAGCAATAAAACTGGCCTTCTTGAGACTAGTTGAGTATCTGGAGCATCAGCAATTGTGGGTTCGATTACAGGCTCAAAATGGCCAGAAACAAATAACTTTCTTCTGAAACTCATCAGTCTATTCTTGTTCTGAGAAATGAAGGCTATTCCATGCGAGAAATTGCCAAGAAACTGAAGATCTCGTACAATGCTGTGTACTACTCCCTTCACAGAACAGCGCAAACTGGCTCTAACCAGAATAGAAAGAGGAGTGGGAGGCCCCGGTGCACAACTGAGCAAGAGGACAAATACATTAGAGTGTCTAGTTTGAGAAACAGACGCCTCACAGGTCTCAACGTCAACAGTGAAGAGGCGACTCCGGGATGCTGACCTTCTAGGCAGAGTTGCAAAGAAAAAGCCATATCTCAGACTGGCCAATAAAAAGAAAAGATTAAGATGGGCAGTCTGAGATGTGGCTTTTTCTTTGCAACTCTGCCTAGAAGGTCAGCATCCCGGAGTCGCCTCTTCACTGTTGACGTTGAGACCTGTGAGGCGTCTGTTTCTTTCGAAAACAAGGACATTTCTAAGTGACACCAAACTTTTGAACGGTAGTGTAAGACAAAACAAGGGCTTAGTTGTATGATATCATAACTGGCACCTGCACATTACTGATGCTGTTTTCCTTCCATTTAGTGACGAAGCTGAACTGTGCCCAGCAGTGCTCTAAGAGGTGTAAGGGCCCGTCTCCCATCGACTGCTGCAACGAACACTGTGCTGCTGGCTGCACTGGACCCAGACCTACAGACTGTCTGGTGAGAGACCCTAACCATAACCCTAACTCATCTTCACACTGTATCGGACCCAGACCTAGACCGTCTGGTGAGAGACAGACCGACAGACACATACGCCACTTTCACACACTACTGGGGTCGGGAGTATTTCTTCATGTCATGTGACCTGACCAGGAAGAGAGAGACAGATGCCACCATTGTACTGGGGTCATAGGGTGGGACAGGAGTGATCATGAACAATTCTGGGCTTTAGTTAGGCTTTAAGTAGGGTCCAGTTTTTTCTGGTCAGGTCACGTGGTCTGAAAAAACCCTAGCTAGTCATAGGTCAATAATGGAGGCCAATTGCATCTCTCACATATACTATGTTTTTTCCTTCTTCTTTGTAGTTATTTCTTCACCAAATAAATGTGTTAGGAAACAGACACACATTCCATTTCACATTTCACACATATTTATTTCTCTTTTATGATGCTCCCTTTTGTCGTATTGGCTGGTGACCAACATACTGTACACCAGTAACACTGTTTTCTATCCACTTTATGATTGAAACCACATTGTGTTGCTTTTGCATCCGGTGACCCTTTCTATCACTGAATAAACCCTGCTTTTTGACAGAATCAGGCTTGGTCCCAAGCTGGTAAGATAAGCCGGCGTCACCTATTCCTCTCTGGCTAAACTGAGCCGTGAAATAGGAATGCAGTGTTAGAATCTGTGCATACGGCGCTGTTATGGTCCAATTGCTCTGTCAATGAAGGCTGGGCTGTATTTATTAGGACATTTTGCAACAGAAAGTGAAAACAAGCGTTTCTTATTGGACAAGTTCAGGTAGTCCATTTCCTGTTTGTCTGTTTTCTTCCATTTGGTGCTTAATGAACATAGCCCTGTTTGGTGCTGTAGGCTTGCCGGGACTTTCAGGATGACGGGACATGTAAAGACTCGTGTCCGCGCCTTCTGCTCTACGACCGCAACCTTCACCAACTGGTCAACAACCCAGACGGGAAGTACAACTTCGGGGCCACCTGCGTCAAGACCTGCCCTCGTAAGAAAACCCCCATGTCCCATCCATGTCCCCTTATGACCTCCTCTATGAGGCTACTGTATATTAATTAGAAGCTTTGTACACAGAGGGTGCTTCAGCCGAGACATTCAGCGATGTGAAACGTTCAGATATGGTATGCTGGTGTGCTGAACAAGGGGCCAAATGGTCCCTCTAGGCCAGTGTTTCCCAACTCCAGTCCACCAGTACCCCCAACAGCACACATGTTTGTTGTAGCCCCAGACAAACTCGCCTCATTCAACTCATTGAGGACTTGATGATTAGTTGACAAGTAGAATCAGGTGAGTTTGTCCGAGGCTACAACACAAATGTGTGCTGTTGGGGGGACTCGAGGACTGGAGTTGGGAAACGCTGGCCTATGGGCTGGTGTATTGCTCTAAGTCAGTCAGTCTGTGCCAGTCTCTGAGTTTAATCATAAACTGCATAAACGAGGAAAGACAATACTACAGCTGCCTCCACTTTCTCCAGGCTGTTAGAATCAGCTCTCAGACACTGGCATGCATGCAATCCTGTTCTATACAGTACACAATGCATTACATAGGTTTGTTATATATTCTGTTTTTTCCCCTCAGATAACTATGTGGTGACAGACCATGGAGCGTGCGTTCGGACGTGCAGTGGTGACACATACGAAGTGGACGAGGGAGGGGTTAGGAAGTGCAAGAAGTGTGATGGACTGTGCCCCAAAGGTAGAGTTGATACTGCCACAACTCCTAACGTTATTTTACATCCTCATGGCAGGGATGATAGCGTTCATGATGATACTGCCTGAATGTGTCTCTCTGTAACATGTAATGTTCATCCCACAGTGTTATTCCCCAACGATGCACTGCAGGGTTGTGTTCAATACAATTTGATTTCCAATAGAGGATTTTCAGATTCTTGAATTGGAATTTCATTTTACTTATTGAATTAAAATGTATTTTACCCTGCTGTACTGCACTAGTTTTCTGGGGGAGGAAGAAATCAGAAGCCAAGTTTGTTTTTATTAATATGTTACACATTTTCACAGTTTGCAATGGACTTGGAATGGGGAAACTTGCCAATATTCTGTCAATTAATGCCACCAACATTGACACATTCAAAAACTGCACCAAAATCAATGGGAACATTGCTATTATCTACACATCTATCCATGGGTAAGTGTTAAGAACATATAGAATAAGACCTAAGAACATATAGAATAAGACCTACGAGCCTGTAGAATAAGACCTACGAGCCTGTAGAATAAGACCTACGAGCCTGTAGAATAAGACCTACGAGCCTGTAGAATAAGACCTACGAGCCTGTAGAATAAGACCTACGAGTCTGTAGAATAAGACCTGACTAGTTTTTTACATCACATATAATGTATTATATTTGTGAATATGGCAGTTACATTTCACAGTTATTGCTATTCACAGGGACCAATTTACCAAAGCACCAAAGATGGACCCTGCCAAGCTAGACGTTTTTAAGACTGTCAGAGAAATCACTGGTAAGAGGCTTTGCAGACTAGTCTATTAACTATACTAAAACATTATCAAAAGAGCCATGCTGTTGATTATTTTACTTTCAAATGTATTTATATTGTATTTTTTTCCATTAAAAAAAAAACCCATCCAGGCTACCTGCTGATTCAGAACTGGCCAGAGAACATGACATCCCTCAGTCCCTTTGAAAACCTGGAGATCATTAGAGGACGGACCAAACGGTAAGACCACTGTTCAGTCTCAGCCTCTATTATAGAATGGCAGTGGTGAGCTGGTCAAGCCCTATAGCCACCTTGAACTTCCTAAATGAAGTTTCTCCCTCTCACTCCCTCTCCTCTCTCTCCCTCCTCAGTGGTCTGGTGAGCTTGGCCATAACCCAGTTAACCATCACCCACCTGGGTCTTCGCTCGCTGAAGGAGATCAGTGATGGAGACGTGGTCATCACCAGGAACCTCAACCTCTGCTACACCAAGAAACGCCACTGGAAGCAGCTGTTCAAGTCCAACACGCAGACCGTCCGGCTGGAGAGCAATGCCGATGCAGCCGCATGCGGTAAATCATAGTCATTATTTTATGATTAACATTTTTATTGATATGTGTGGTCACATAACACACAAAAAGGAACACCAACAAACAGAACAGACGCAACAAACACCAATAGTCAACACCATAATGTCACATAAACAACTCAAGCCCATAATAAATTAGAGATAACATGATGTTCTGTGCTTACTAAAGGTTACATCGGGATATGTGGCTCTGAGATTAATATTGGCCCATGCCAATCTCTATTGTTGTGGCCATAAAACTATGAAAGTGTGGGAGAACTAGGAAATTAACGCTAGCTTGTTGCTTGTACAGGGTTGTGTGAAAAGTAAAAAGGATATTTTGAATACTATATATACTTTATGTATTAATCTGGGTTAAAATAATTATTTTGTATTGATATCTGTGTGTCTGTATATGTGTGTTTGCAGAGCTGCAGAACAACACATGTGACACAATGTGTACCAGAGATGGCTGCTGGGGACCTGGACCCACCATGTGTTTCGCCTGTCAGGACTACAGCCGAGCAGGAAGCTGTGTAGACTCCTGTAACCTACTAGAGGGGTGAGGGAGGAGCCCCTTTCTGTTCCCCATTTATACAATCAAAGTAACCTGATTCTGCAAAGCTGAAGCAGTGAAGAAGCGTGAAAATGTACTTTTTGTACACTTGGCAAAGATAAACTATTGGCAACTTAAGCTATCAATTGAACATGGGTATTTTGCAAGATGCAGTTTTGCATGGAACTAAATAGTAAAATCAGACAGAAGACGTGCCATCAGGAGTACATGTAAGAAGTTCTTAAGACAGTAAGGCAGCAATAAACCCAATTCATGAGAAGACGGTCCTCTCAGCTGGAATGGGAGCACTTAACTCATAGCTATTTAACTTTGGGAGTCTCCTCTGTCAAATATTGAGCATCACCTTGCTTACAATGTAACTCTTGCTATGAGGAAAGGGATCAATGCAACCATCTGCAAATGGAACCACCTGAAATCAAATGTTCAACCAGTAGAAATTATAGCCTGGTCCCAGATCTGTTTATGCTGTCTTAGAAACTCCTATGGGACAATGACAATAAAGGTTGGCAAGACAGCACAAACAGATCTGGGACTAGGGTAGTGGAAATATGTTACATGCTGACATTTTGTCCTCATTTTGCAGGGAGCCACGTGAGACTGAAGTGAATAAGACGTGTGTGGAGTGTCACCCTGAGTGTCAGCTCCTCAATGGAACCCAGACCTGCTCTGGACCAGTACGTGTGTCTCTTATATTTATTCTATGTCTAAGTATTTATAAACTGGGTGGTTCGAGCCCTGAATGCTGATTGGCTGAAAGCTGATCTAATTACATTGGTAACCAGTTTATAATAGCAATAAGGCACCTCGTGGGTTTGTGGTATATGGCCAATATACAAGACATGGCCAAATGTATGTGGACACCTGCTTGTCGAAACATCTCATTCCAAAATCATGGGTTTTAATATGGAGTTGGTCCCCCCCCCTTTGCTGCTATAACAGCCTCCACTCTTCTGGGAAGGCTTTCCACTAGATGTTGGAACATTGCTGCGGGGACTTGCTTCCATTCAGCCACAAGAGCATTAGTGAGGTCGGTCACTGATGTTGGGCGATTAGGCCTGGCTCGGAGTCGGCATTCCAATTATTCCCAAAGGTGTTTGATGGGGTTGAGGTCAGGGCTCTGTACAGGCCAGTCAAGGTCTTCCACACCGATCTCAACAAACCATTTCTGTATGGACCTCGCTTTGTGCACGGGGGCATTGTCATGCTTAAACAGGAAAGGGCCTTCCCCAAACTGTTGCCACAAAGTTGGAATCACAGAATCATCTCAAATGTCATTGTATGCTGTAGCGTTAAGATTTCCCTTCACTGGAACTACGGGCCCTAGCCCGAACCATGAAAAACAGCCCCAGACCATTATTCCTCCTCCACCAAACTTTACAGTTGGCACTATGCATTGGGGCAGGTAGCATTCTCCTGGCTTCCACCAAACCCAGATTCGTCCGTCGGACTGCCAGATGGTGAAGCGTGATTCATCACTCCAGAGAACGTGTTTCCACTACTCCACAGTCCAATGGCGGCGAGCTTTACACCACTCCAGCTGACGCTTGACATTGCGCATGGTGATCTTAGGCTTGTGTGTGGCTGCTCGGCCATGGAAACCCATTTCATGAAGCTCCCAACGAACAGTTCTTGTGCTGACGTTGATTCAAGAGGCAGTTTGGAACTCTGTAGTGAGTGTTGCAACCGAGGACAGACGATTTTTACGCGCTTAAGCACTCGGTGGTCCCGTTCTATGAGCTTGTGTAGCCTACCACTTCACGGCTGAGCCGTTGTTGCTCCTAGACGTTTCCACTTCAAAATAACAGCACTTACAGTTGACCGGGGCAGCTCTAGCAGGGCAGAAATTTGACGAACTGACTTGTAGGAAAGGTGGCATCCTATGATGGTGCCACGTTGAAAGTCACTGAGCTCTTCAGTAAGTAATCTATAGAGATTGCATGGCTGTGTGCTCGATTTTATAGACCTGTCAGCAACGGGTGTGGCTGAAATAGCCGAATCCTCTAATTTGAAGGGGTGTCCACATACCTTTGTATATATAGTGTACCACGGCTGGTGACTCCGCGTTGCGTCATGCATAAGAACAGCCCTTAGCAGTGGTATATTGGCCATATAGGGGCGGCAGGTAGCCTGGCGGGTAGGAGCGTTGGGCCAGTAACCGAAAGGTTGCTGGATTGAATCCCCGAGCTGACAAGGTAAACATCTGTCGTTCTGCCCCTGAGCAAGGCAGTTAACCCACTGTTCCCCGGGAGCCGATGACTTGGATTTCGATTAAGGCAGCCCCCCGCACCTCTCTGATTCAGAGGGGTTGGGTTAAATGCGGAAGACACATTTCAGTTGAATCCATTCAGTTGTACAACTGGCTAGGTATCCTCCTTTCCCTACCACACCCCCTCAGGCCTTATTGCTTAAATATACTATGAAGCAGTATGTGTCTCTCTCCATGCCATGTCCCAGCACAATAGGTACAATGTATTTCTCTAGCATGCTATTATTATACAATAGTTGTGTCTGTTAAATATGTTATGTCTCCGCACAGTTGGCCTGTTTCCTTAGAATGTTTCTTTAGATGTGTATGTAATACAATGTCTTGCAATCCTCTTCTCTCTCTTTCAGGGCCACGAGCAGTGTACCCAGTGTGCTAACTTCAAAGATGGCAACAACTGTGTCCTGGGGTGCCCTAGAGGGGTGCCAGGGGTGGCAGGGGGCAAGAACACCTTCATCTGGAAATATGCAGATAAGATGAAGGTGTGCCAGCTGTGCCATCAGAACTGTACCCAGGGGTAAGTCAAGGAATCTGTCACAACCGCATAAATACAGTAATGCACAAATACAGACACATGCGCCATTTTAATAAAAAAAGAAATGTCTCAGTAAAAAATAGATAAAAAGTCATTCAGCCGAGGTGTTAGAATGGACACGTGCTCATATGTGCTTATATGATTACAGATGTACCGGTCCTGGTCTGAAAGGCTGTCAGACTATAGGGTAAGCAATTGACTCTAATCATGAACAGTAACTTCAAACAGTACTGTTCAAATTGTATTTAAACTTAGAAACACTAAGTTTACTAAGCTAATGAACATTTATAATGTGTATGTCGTCTTTTCTCTGCATTGATTGGTTACCATCTGTCTCCCATGCAGTAACTCTGGCCTATCAGTGATCGCAGCTGGTGTGGTGGGTGGGCTGCTTGCCTTCCTCATCATGGGCCTGTCTGTCTTCGTGTTGCTACGGCGACGCCACATCAAGAGGAAGAGGACCCTGCGAAGACTACTCCAAGAGAGAGAGGTGAGAGGCAGACACTGAACCACTGAGCTTTAAGGGCTTTCTATGGATGGAATTCAGTCATCATTGATAGTGCATCAAAGTGAACAGAAGGTGAACAATCCTTATCCGCATCTATTGCTATTCTACAGTTAGTTGAACCGTTGACCCCCAGTGGTGAGGCACCCAACCAGGCTCTGCTCCGCATTCTTAAAGAGACAGAGTTTAAGAAGATCAAAGTGTTGGGATCAGGGGCCTTCGGCACTGTTTACAAGGTAAATACAAACGTTACTTTTTCTAGATTTCATTCAGAAAACTCCAGTGTCTTGGATTGTACTGTGGTATTGTAGTAAAGGAGCTTATGGGAATGTGTGTTAAGACTGCATATAAACCAACACCCTTTAACCACATCTACATCTGTTGTCAATTTTGCAATTAACAGCCACATATTTAACGTACCACATCATGCATCATAATCCAATCCACACTTACTATCAGTTATTTTACCATTCCCACATTCCACTGTAACGAACCAAACCTTTAAGAAATGATTCAAGTACACACAGTTTTCTTATGATTATTTAGTGCCTGACATTTTTCCTGACCTCTTGACATGACCATGAAAACCTCTGTACTTTGTGTGTGTGTGTGTGTGTGCAGGGTCTGTGGGTCCCTGAAGGAGAGGATGTGAAGATTCCTGTGGCCATTAAGGTTTTAAGAGAGGCCACATCACCTAAAGCCAACCGGGAGATATTGGACGTGAGTTATATCCCTCTATATCACTTCACTCTAAGACAGTGCTGCCCAATCCTGGTCCTGGAGGAATGAAACACATGGTTTTATCATCTCCTTCTAATCAGGGACTAATTCAGACCAGGGACACCAGGTGAGTGCAATTAGCTACCAGGTAGAAACAAAATCCAGAAATGTTTCGGTCCTCCAGGACCAGGATTGGCATCCCTGCTCAAAGATGTTTGTTCATAGGAGTTAGAACTGGTATCTTCCAAATGTAAAGACATTCTATATCTAATTTACAGTAGAATCTAAGTTAGTGCTATTAGGTACAGTATGGTATCTTACATTCATTGATGGTTATCCATACCACACTGTACATGCACTTTCAAACTAAACATTTGTTGACAAATGAGTATTTTGACCTAATTTAGTGGCATAATATATTATTGAGTAGCCTATACAACCACTATTGCATGTCACTGGACAATTTAGGTGTCATGTTTCCTCTAAAAGTCTCATTCCAAGCACATGCTCTTCAATTTGGGAAGAAGCTGAAATAATGACAACATTTAGTTAGAAAATGGGAAAAGGAGTCTGGTCTCTAGAAGTCGACCTCTCAGTGGGAGCGTAGGAAATGAGATTAACTAATTGAGAAGGTTTGGACCAGGGTTGGGGCGTGGGAGGAGGATACTAATTCAAGGTTAAGGATTGCTGGAATTAAATCAAAAATCTCTTCCAGTAACCGCAGTTTAAAAAACACAGTCCAGACCTGGGTTCATATAGTATTGGAAATACTTTGGCTGGCTGGCTGGCTGCACTTGATTGAGCTTTCCTGGCGCAATGGAACCAATAGAATAGTCCAACTTCATGCCCCACCCATCTAGCACTTCAGGCAGGCTCAATCAAACGCTCTTAAGTATTTGAAAGATATCAAATATGATTTGAGCCCAGGTGTGGCACAGTCCTGTGATTATTCAGTTTCAGGATTTAGAGTGCATGGACAGCTGAGGTTTTGCAGTGATGTTTCTCTTGACATCTCATCATGAGGTCAAGAACTTTCTTAAAGAAAATGTCTTACACGTTTAAATATCTGGCTCATAAGCGGACATTTTCTTCAAGCTGTCAGTTGTTGAAATGGTTCATGTTTAGATATCATTATTGAGTTTTATGAATGCACACTAGAATGATGCCACCATCCCTAGCCCTAAATGCTGTATACTGTACTGTACCACCCTGGAGTAAATGTTGGTACTATATCTAACTGACTGTAGGAGGCCTATGTGATGGCCAGTGTGGACAACCCCCATGTGTGTCGTCTGCTGGGCATCTGCCTGACCTCCACAGTCCAGCTAGTCACCCAGCTCATGCCCTACGGCTGTCTGCTGGACTACGTCAAGGAGAACAAGGACAACATCGGATCCCAGTACCTCCTTAACTGGTGTGTGCAGATCGCCAAGGTAAGACTAAGGTGCATTTAAACGACCGGACAATCTGTGTTTATTCAATGTAGGGAATTTCCAAGACGCTGTTATTTTTCCAACTAACCAAAAGAAAAGTGTGTTTGTGAAAATCGGTATTCTCCTTTTACTCCTGTTACGGCTACATTTGGAATTTCAAACCACAAAATGCTGGGTGCACTTCCTGTCCTGAAGTCGTCTGTCATGCTCTACAGCATAATTATACAGATTTGGTGTCAGTCTGTGTTTGATTTAGAAACCTTGTTGCTGTCTTGTCACACAACGATCATGTGGAGGTTAAGCATAAATGGCGAAACTGGAACGTGGCACCCAGACTATAAGGCCCTGTGTTTTTCCTAGCCATGGGACTTGACCAAAACGCTGGCCCTTTGACTACCCATGAGTCACAGTGTAGTGTATTAAAGCTTAATCAAACAGTGAGTCAGTGGAAAGTTCGGAATGGCCATACACTCCTATAGACCCCTACAGTTCACCGCTCACTTGACATCTTGTTGACCTGTTTAAAACAATAAAAGCACTAAAAAGTGCTGTAGGCCTATGGCTCTGTTTGAATACTGTTAGAATGCTTCAAATAGGGCCCATGTATGGCCTTAGACTCACTCATTCACTTCTACCACCTCATTTGACCTTTGACCTGTGGTTGACCCCAGGGGATGAGCTACCTGGAGGAGCGTCACCTGGTGCATCGTGACCTGGCAGCAAGGAACGTCCTGGTGAAGACCCCTCAGCACGTCAAGATCACGGACTTTGGCCTGGCCAAACTCCTCAACGCTGACGAGAAGGAGTACCACGCTGACGGAGGAAAGGTCTGCTCCTCAAAGTTTGATTTGAATTTAATTGAATTCCCGTGAAGTAATGTAACACAAGGAACACATTTTTTGTAAAGTAAATGTAATGTTATGATCCCCTTTTTAATTGTTCTGTTTGATGGTGATTTATGTTGTTACTATTTCCAACCCAACCTAATATAGTCTATTGATAACACAGATGCTTTACCTACATACCTAATGTTGTATTAGCCATCTGGAAGAACTACCTCAGTTTGGTCTTGTGAACCCTAACTCATGAGCCCTCTCTCTGCAGGTACCAATCAAATGGATGGCACTGGAGTCCATCCTCCACCGGAAATACACACATCAGAGTGATGTTTGGAGCTATGGTCAGGAACCCACATATGCACACTATTTAATAGGATTCATGCACTAATCTCTTTAACATACATATATGAATACTGTATGTACAGCAATACATGTCAATGCTGAACTGTGCCGGAATTAACCACAATGCTTGTGTAACTCCAGATACATAAATATCGTTTCTGGATCTTGTACTTAATCAGAACTGTTAAAATCAGGTCCAGGTAGGAGTATTGGGTTTTTTGAGCATCTGGGAGATTAGAGAAATGGGTATCTGGTATCGGTGAACTAACTTTACACCAGCAGGTCCTGGAGGTCCGATGTCTTAGAATGTTGAAACCTCAACCTCAAACCAATGTCCCTAACACACATTACCCCTGGTTTGGACACACACAGTTTGGAAGCATGCACGCACACACACACACACATTTCCGCTCTGTGGGCAGGTCTCCAGATCCTGTCCTCTGAAGTTGTGTCTTCTGCTTTACAAGGCAAAGACATCAGCAGGCCCTGGCAGCACCACCCGCCAGCCCTCCTCCTCCTCCTCCTCCTCCTCCTCCTCTCTTTCCATCCTCCTCTCCTTTTCCTCGTCCTCCTCTTCCCTTTCAAACTGATCCAACACCAATGGAACCTGCCAACTCCCACTCTTAAGGACACATCCTGATGTTGACTCTGCAGTGTTTTAGAAAGTAACTTGACATTGTCGGTATCTGCCTATCAGCTTTTCTGGAATGAAAACAAAGTCATCTTCCCTAGTTATTTAACTTTAACTGAGATTGTGCCTATGCCACTATAAGTAGCCCTCCACTCGTACCCGTATACAGGTTGAAAATGGCAGATTTGGGCACTGATAAACACATACATTGGAACGCAGTGGTTGTACAGTAACATGCAATACATGACGTCAGAGCTCAGGGTCTCCGCTTCACAGCGCTGTATGGGTTTTGACTGACAGCCGTTCTGAACTTGAGCACCGCACGCGACATGAAGTTGCCCCCATTCGTCCCGCTAACTGGGCAACTTTTGCAAATGTTTTGTTGTCTGAGTGAGGGAAATTAGGACTCTATTTATTTTGAAAGATGATACGTTGAGGATTATAATAAATACCGCTTTGATGTCATACAAGCAAGCCAAACACCATTAGTCCAAATGTGCACTTCACATTTTCATACCATAAAACTCATGTCATATACAGTGTCAACGTTTATGATCACTATGTCTGATGTACAGATACAAGATGACATGGCGTCATACCCTGGGGTTGTTCTGAACAGAATGAGCCTATGTTTGTCTATTGTGAAGAAAATTCACTGCAGCACGCACCTGAATGCACTCATGACCCCTTTCTATGCACACCAAAATTAGAATCAGTTTCCCTGAATTGCATTGTGAAAGCCTAACACTGTAATATCGTATTTTATAACTTAGCTAGTCATGTTGGCAATAGAACAGGCTTTCAAATGATGCCCAGCTGACCCAGATTGCTATTTAGAATGGACTGTTTTTGGATTGCGTAAACAACTACAGTATTTGTGTGATGGCGGGGATGCAGGGTTGTGTTCCAACCCAAACAAACTACACGTGTGCTTTCCGTAGTTCCTCAACGGCACAGCTAGGAGAGCTCAAAAATGCACTTTATAGTTGAAGACTTCTTTGAGTCATAAAAGTACATTGAAATTCCTTAGGAACTATGCACACTTTAGAGAGGTGTGTGGCCACCAGTTAGTCCTCTCACTCAAACCCATGTCATATTTGTCTTATGTTACACCTACCCCACATTTTCCAGGAAGATTTTTATCATGTTACTGAATGTATCCAGAGTATTTTCAGATTTCGTTATCAACAAATGCAGCGAAAAGTACAGTAAACGTCAAATGCACACAAAATCAACAGTGTCATGTTTGAATTCAGTCTTGTGTCAGGTGAACTGTTGTGTCCTCACATTTGGTCTAATAATTTTCCCAGAATCTCCAAACTGTTCCCTTTCAATTGCTACCATGGTTATGCATTTTCATATTTCTTCTGTAAGAAACATTTCAATTTAGCCTTATCCAAACAGGCCAATTCCCACCTGTGTAATTCATTGTGACAGTAATTAAAGTTTTTAACTGAGATTATGCCATTGATTGTGACTCTTATCTATTTCACTGTACCTCTGTTTAGGTGTGACCGTGTGGGAGCTGATGACATTTGGGACCAAGCCCTATGACGGCATCCCAGCCAATGAGATAGCAGGGGTGCTGGAGAAAGGGGAGCGGCTCCCCCAGCCTCCTATCTGTACCATAGACGTCTACATGATCATGGTCAAATGTTGGATGATCGATGCAGACAGCAGGCCTCGTTTCCGAGATCTTATAGCTGAGTTTTCCAAGATGGCGCGGGATCCCCCACGTTATCTTGTCATCCAGGTAAGCATTGTAACTCATTGTCATGAATTACTGTGGAGTCACAGACAACACAAGCCTATTTAACTCACTCAGCCACTGTAAGGTTAGTGAACAAACACGACCTACTCTGTAATTCTTTCTGACTGGTCTTTGGGTACTGATGGTGAGATGTATGTGTGTGTCTCTTCCAGGGTGATGACCGAATGCACCTCCCAAGCCCCACAGACACCAGGTTCTACCAGAGCCTAATCAGTGGAGAGGACATAGAGGACGCTGTGGACGCAGACGAGTACCTGGTACCTCAGCACAGCTTCTTCTCCAGCCACAGTACCTCGCGTACCCAGCTCCTACACTCTATGGTACAATAACACATCCACTAGGCTAGCCATAATCTACTGCTTTGTAATCTCGTCCACTAGCCGGCTCTCTGTCGAACCGTCTGGTTTCACAGTGCCTCAGAACAGGACTTGACTGGAAGTCTATGGCAGGAGCGGATGAAACAACCGCTGGTTTTAATTGGCTGATCTCTCATTCAATCACCATCTAGCATAACCTTTACAACCTCCCCCTACATTGTGGACTTCAAAGCGTGAGCAGCAGAAGTGATTTAAACAAGGTTTAAGTGAGTTTGGAAAATCTGAAAATACACATTTTATAAATAGTTTTCACATATAAACTTTTTATGCCCGAACTCAGAATCAATTGGGCTTCCCAAAAATGATATGGTCAATGTGATAGAATTTTGATTGGCGATTTTCGCCATTTTTCAAAGTCCCATCTAATACAGCTGTAGCAGACTCGCTCCCTCACCCGCCTTGATTTTCACCACACCCCTTTCAAGTTGCACAGTGTTACCATGCTCTATGCACCAGCAATTTGAGCCTGGGGACGAGGCTTAAATTGATAGAGAGATACTGTTTCTCAGACATAGTCTACTCCTATACTAAAAAGCATGTTCAATGGGGATTAGTCCAGGAGAAGGCTTAATCTGCATCCACCATCCACCAGCCACTGGCTCTCTGCCTCTGCACTAATTTCTAACACAGAGAATAGGTTTTTTAGTCTATTAAAGAAACTGGATTAAATGCATCATTGCAGTGAATCAAAGAAAAGGAATTCCATCGAACTTTTTATGCTCACAGCTCTTTTCTGTTGTTCTACAAAGAAGGGGTCTGCAGAATTTTGGTATCCACCTCTACCGAGTTCACATTTTGGCAGGGTGGAAATGGACGTTTATTGGGCAATTTAGACTACTGGAGGCAATTTAGGTTTCCCTACTACACCTTGGATTAGAACTAACAACCTTGTGGTCAATTGTTTCCGCAAAGGCTAGAACAATGTCTTTATTTATTTATCCTGTATTTAACAAGATGAAATGAGGTCATGTTGATAGTACGTATCCCTGTTCAAGTTCTTAGTTAGCCCCTTTTGCAATCGTAGTGAAATTGAATCTTGGAAACAGAGTAAATTTAATTTACGTGGGCGTTTATACCGTGTCATACCTGGCTTGAACAAGACAGGCCTCAATCGCCCACTTCCTGTTCCTGTTAAATTGTCATCAGGGGGACTCTTCTTCCCCTGTCCTTTTTCTGACCCCCGACTCCCCCACTACTCCCTCACCCCCGCTTTCTCACATATGCCCCTTGATTGATAGCATTTGAGATGAGGAGAAATCCTCTCCTCTCCTCTCCTCTCCTCTCCTCTCCTCTCCTCTCCTCTCCTCTCCTCTCCTCTCCTCCAAGAGGCCAGTGTTGGCTATCTGGGCTGTATGCCTGCCACTGAAAGCCGGCTGCTTACTCCATAAGCTTTCAATTACCTTTGCAGGCAGGCAGCACTACTTCTTCAATATTTTTCTGCCAGAATACAAGTTGAGGGACCTGCTTATATAATACCAGCGTTTGGTACAATATACAGCCTTTTATGGGCTTGGACTGGAGTCTTTGGCAGATGGTCCCCTGCTTCACTTCTTTTCATTTCCTCTTATTCAGCCTGTCGAAAATAATTACATTTGGATGGTTGCTTTTATTTTACCTTCTTCTTCATACGCATTTATGAAATTAAAAGGTTTTGACCTTTCTAAACATTACTGTAAAGAACTAACAAGAACTTAGTAGAAGTAGGCCTACAGAAATGTGGATATTTATTTATGTTTTTGTGGTATTTTACCAGATGTGTTGGAATGTAATTTTTGACCTGGGTATAAATCTGTGTTTCAGAGCCAGAACAGCACATTGAACAGTAGCTTTGGAATGTGCCACAGCAGAAATGGGGTAAGAGAGACACACGTAATTTTTTTTTGTAACAGTCAACATCACAAATGCACATTGAGGTGTATTGAAAAGGAAACTTTGTAGCATTGACAGAGTCTTTCACAATATGAAACAACTCTCATCTCTAACTCATATGATACTTTGCAGTTAAGGTGTGGCTTTGGGCTAACAACGATTTTATTCTACCTAGAATGGGTTCCCTGTCAGAGAAGGAAGCATGGTTCTCCGGTACATTGCTGATCCCACAGACAGGTTATTGGACCAAGCCTTCCAGCCAGCTCCAGGCAAGTATGCTCCTTGACCGCCCAAAGGGTCTTAACCTGAGAACATGTCTCACTTCCTAAGAAATAGTGATACATTGTGCAGTTTTCTTACCAGAAACGGTTTTATTTTCAAAGGAAGAAGGACCTCTGCTGGGCAATGGCTGTAGGTCATATGCCACGTAGCGCGTCTCTGTCATTGTTTAGAATCCTACAATTGAACATTTAATAAAATGTCTTCACTTAGTACACAGAGTGGTTGTTTTCCTGCTGTAGTAACTCATTTCTGTTATTTCGCTTCAACAGACTACATGAACCAGAATGGAATGTCGGACATGATGAACCCTGTATACCAGCACCCCGGTCCCCCTCGCACCCTCCTCCCCACCATCTCCTCAGACGACACAGAGACAGAGTACCTGAACTTCTATAAGAATGGGGCAGTGGGGCCTGAGTACCTAAACACCCTCCAGCCCTCCCTCCTCTCCCCAACCACCTCCAATGGCATCTCCCCCATCACCTCCAATGGCCTCACCCCCACTGCTAACAGCCTTTTCCCCATGTTCAATGGTCTCCCCTCCCCGAGCTCCAATGGCCTCTACCCCACTTCCAATAGCAGTCTCCACTGCGTCCAGAAATACCAACCCCAGAACAGTATAGATAACCCAGACTACCAGCAGGACTTCACCCCTTCCGTCAAGACCCATGCTAACGGACACATCCCGGCCACAGAGAACACAGAGTACCTAGGCCCAAACTGAGGCCTGTTATCCCCCACCTCCCACTGTGGATGAAATGAGACACCGGGTAATAAGGCTCTCTATCCTACTGAGAGAAGGCATAACGTCTTTGTTTAGCAGGGGTAGGGGTACCATGGACTGCTTTGCATTGTATTTATCCCTGCCTAAATGAGCCAAGTGTGCTCTCTATTGTTCGCCAGTTGTAGTACTTATTGTACAGTACTGTGAAACTCTCCTCATTCCAACAACTCTTCCATTTCAAACTGAGTCTGTGCTGATAGTTTGATGAGATGAGACAGAAGTGAGGCTCTTGGTGTTTAACTCCATTGTGTGCAAAAAAGCAAGAGAGCACCTTAGGCCTATACATTCAGATACTGTAGCCCATATCAGAAACCCATAGGTATCATGTTGCACAATACAATGTTGTGATACGAAAGTGGAGAAACACTATTACTAGACAAAATAGTGTATCCTTCAGTCCTTGAGATCTGATGCTCCTGTGAAAGAAATTGACAAAACACTATTATGTGGCAGCTCACCCCTTTCTTGCCAACACATAATTTTTTTGTTTTTTTTACATTTTAGTCATTTAGCAGTTAGTGAGTGCATACATTTGTATTTATTTGTTTCATACATAGACGGTACATGTACTATAAGATGTCACTGATACAGTATTGGTGTATTGAGTATATAGTATTGGGTATTTAGCTCCCACATCTAAAGGGCTGGAACTGTTAAAACAACAGTTGGATGTCTGAGCTCTTCCGTGTGGAACCTACAGTTTGAGACATGCTGGAGTCAAATGTTGCTGAACATTGGTGTCAGAAGTGGAAGGTGGAGGCCCTCATCTGTGTCTGATGGTGGCTGGTCCATGGAGGAACTTCTGAAACCTGACAGGACTCTTCCTGAAGGAGGGGTTGATGAGGACACATCAATGGCAAATATTGCTATTGATGACTTTGCTGAAGGCTTTATAACTTTTATCATATTGCCAGATGGGAGAGACACTGACCGCTGTTGGTGCCCCAGTGTAACTGCATCAATATTAGGACGTCTGTATTGTTTATTATTGTTTTGTACAGTAGGGCCATTAGTTCTGACACTACATCTGTAAATCTTCTCACAGCTTTAAAGTCTTGCACTCTTGCAGGTACTCAAACTTTCCCAGTTTTAAATGAACATATTAAATAGCTACTTGTCATTTGAGAGCCTGCTGTTTGACAGAGGTACATGTACAGATAAGTATGAGATTATGTTGTGTACAATATATTAAATATGGTCACCTATAAATTAACCTATCAACATTCCTCATCTAAATGGTCTTGCCACTTTATATATAAATATGCAGTTATTGACGAACTGTAATTATTTCCTTTCAAAGTGAAAATGAATAAAACATTGTTATATTGAACTATTTATAGTGGGTTTTTTTTTAACCTATTTACACTGTTCAACTGCCAATCTGAGTGTTTTTCATCCTGGTTTATTTAGCTGAACAAACAAGATTATTAAGGGTAAAAAATATATATACACTACCATTCAGAAGTTTGGGGTCACTTAGAAATGTCCTTGTTTTCCATGAAAACATACAGTTGAAGTCAGAATTTTATATACACTTAGATTGGAGTCATTAAAACTCATTTTTCAACCACTCCACAAATTTCTTGTTAACAAACTATAGTTTTGGCAATTCGGTTAGGACATCTACTTTGTGCATGACACAAGTCATTTTTCCAACAATTGTTTACAGACAGATTATTTCACTTATAATTCACTGTATCACAATTCCAGTGGGTCAGAAGTTTACATACACTAAGTTAACTGTGTCTTTAAACAGCTTGGAACATTCCAGAAAATGATGTCATGGCTTTAGAAGCTTCTGATAGGCTAATTGACATAATTTGAGTCAATTGGAGGTGTACCTGTGGATGTATTTCAAGGCCTACCTTCAAACTCAGTGCCTCTTTGCTTGACATCATGGGAAAATCAAAACAAATCAGCCAAGACCTCAGAAAAGGAATTGTAGACCTCCACAAGTCTGGTTCATCCTTGGGAGCAATTTCCAAATGCCTGAAGGTACCACGTTCATCTGTACAAACAATAGTACACAAGTATAAACACCATGGGACCACGCAGCCATCATACCGCTCAGGAAGGAGACACGTTCTGTCTCCTAGAGATGAACGTACTTTGGTGCGAAAAGTGAAAATCAATAAACATCTCAAGACATCAGTCAGGAAGTTACAGCTTGGTCGCAAATGGGTCTTCCAAATGGACAATGACCCCAAGCATACTTCCAAAGTTGTGGCAAAATGGCTTAAGGACAATAAAGTCAAGGTATTGGAGTGGCCATCACAAAGCCCTGACCTCAATCCAATAGAAATTGTGTGGGCAGGACTGAAAAAGTGTGTGCGAGCAAGGAGGCCTACAAACCTTACTCAGTTACACCAGCTCTGTCAGGAGGAATGAGCCAAAATTCACCTAACTTATTGTGGGAAGCTTGTGGAAGGCTACCCGAAACGTGTGACCCAAGTTAAACAATTTAAAGGAAATGCTACCAAATACTAATTGAGTGTATGTAAACTTCTGACCCACTGGGAATGTGATGAAAGAAATAAAAGCTGAAATAAATCATTCTCTCTACTATTATTCTGACATTTCACATTCTTAAAATAAAGTGGTGATCCTAACTGACCAAAGACAGGGAATTTTTACTAGGGTTGAATGTCAGGAATTGTGAAAAACTGAGTTTAAATGTATTTGGCTAAGGTGTATGTAAACTTCCGACTTCAACTGTACATTAAATTAGTTTGAATAGGAAATGTAGTCATTGACATTACAGCCTTGCAGGCCTTTGGCATTCTAGTTGTCAATTTGTTGAGGTAATCTGAAGAGAATTCACCCCATTCTTCCTGAAGCACCTCCCACAAGTTGGATTGGCTTGATGGACACTTCTTACGTACCATACGGTCAAGCTGCTCCCACAACAGCTCAATAGGGTTGTGATCCGGTAACTGTGCTGGCCACTCCATTATAGACAATATACCAGCTGACTGCTTCTTCCCTAAATAGTTATTGCATAGTTTGGAGTTGTGCTTTGGGTCATTGTCCTGTTGTAGGAGGAAATTGGCTCCAATCAAGTGCCGTCCACAGGGTAAGGCATGGCGTTGCAAAATGGAGTGATAGCCTTCCTTCTTCAAGATCCCTTTTACCCTGTACAAATCTCCCACTTTACCACCACCAAAGCACCCCCAGACCATCACATTGCCTCCACCATGCTTGACAGATGGCATCAAGCACTCCTCCAGCATCTTTTCATTTGGTCTGCATCTCACAAATGTTTTTCTTTGTGATCCAAACACCTCAAACTTCAATTCGTCTGTCCATAACACTTTTTTCAAATCTTCCTCTGTCCAGTGTCTGTGTTCTTTTGCCCATCTTAATCTTTTATTTTTATTGGCCAGTCTGAGATATGGCTTTTTCTTTGCAACTCTGCCTAGAAGGTCAGCATCCCGGAGTCACCTCTTCACTGTTGACGTTGAGACTGGCGTTTTGCGGGTACTATTTAATGAAGCTGAAAGTTGAGGACCTGTGAGGTGTCTGTTTCTCAAACTAGACACTAATGTATTTGTCCTCTTGCTCAGTTGTCCACCGGGGCCTCACACTCCTTTTTCTATTCTGGTTAGAGCCAGTTTGCGCTGTTCTGTGAAGGGAGTAGTACACAGTGTTGTACGAGATCTTCAGTTTCTTGGTAATTTCTCACATGGAATATCCTTCATTTCTCAGAACAATTATAGACTGACGAGTTTCAAATTTTGAGCCTGTAATTGAACCCACAATTGCTGATGCTCCAGATACTCAACTAGTCTCAAGAAGGCCAGTTTTATTGCTTTTAACGTAATTAATTGCAAAAGGGTTTTCTAATGATCAATTAGCCTTTTAAAATGATTAACTTGGATTAGCAAACAGAATGTGCCATTGGAACACAGGACTGATGGTTGCTGATAATGATCCTCTGTACGCCTATGTAGATATTCCATTAAAAATCAGTCATTTCCAGCTACAATAGCCATTTACAACATTAACAATGTCGACACTGTATTTCAAATCAATTTTAATGGACAAAAAAATTGCTTTTCTTTCGAAAAATGGACATACACAAAATAGTCCAAATTGGTGAAGTGAAATGAAAAAAATCACTTGTTTCAAAAAATTATAAAACATAAATAACGGAAAAGTTGTGCGTGCATATGTATTCACCCCCTTTGCTATGAAGCCCCTAAATAAGATTTGGTGCAACCAATTACCTTCAGAAGTCACATAATTAGTTAAATAAAGTCCACCTGTGTGCAATCTAAGTGTCACATGATCTCAGTATATATACTGAAAGGCCCCAAAGTCTGCAACACCACTAAGCAAGGGGCACCACCAAGCAAGCGGCACCATGAAGACCAAGGAGCTCTCCAAACAGGTCAGGGACAAAGTTGTGGAGAAGTACAGATCAGGGTTGGGTTATAAAAAAAATATCAGAAACTTTGAACATCCCTCGGAACACCATTAAATCCATTATCAAAAAATTGAAAGAATATGGCACCACAACAAACCTGCCAAGAGAGGGCCACCCACCAAAACTCACAGACCAGGTAAGGAGGGCATTAATCAGAGAGGCAACAAAGAGACCAAAGATAACCCTGAAGGAGCTGCAAAGCTCCACAGCGGAGATTGGAGTATCTGTCCATAGGACCACTTTAAGCCATACACTCCATAGAGCTGGGCTTTACGGAAGAGTGGCCAGAAAAAAGCCATTGCTTAAAGAAAAAAATAAGCAAACACGTTTGGTGTTCGCCAAAATGCAGGTGGGAGACTCCCCAAACATATGGAAGAAGGTACTCTGGTGAGATGGGACTAAAATGTGAGCTTTTTGGCCATCAAGGAAAACGCTATGTCTGGCACAAACCCAACACCTCTCATCACCCCAAGAACACCATCCCCACAGTGAAGCATGGTGGTGGCAGCATCAT